GCATCATGACTTTTTCCAGTGAGGAAGTAAAATATAATAAAAAAACAAAAAACAAAAACACACATATATTTTACATAGATAAGGCCCTCCGAAAGGTATGGGCTGTACTCGTGAGAACATTGGTTGCATTTCTTTAAGGCATGGCCTACCAGCAATCACTTCAATTAGTCTACTGGAATCTTTTCGAATCAATCCGAGGGCTCCAACTACAACAGGGATTGTTAATGTTCTCATGTGCCATCTTTCAGATTTCGTTTTGAAGGTCTCTGAATTTTGATAGCTTTTTGAATATCTTCAAGAACACATTGCAGTCTGTAGGGGCTGCCATGTCAATAAGGAGGCAATTTTTTGTTTGCAGTCCCTAATAATGATGCCCTGGGCGATTAGCTTTCTTCTGTCTGTGTGTATTGTTCAGTCCCATAAAATTGTTACAGGCCCTATGTCTGTCACGGAGTGTATTATATTCAATGAGTATCAATACCGTGCAACCTGATACAAGATGATCGATTGTTTCTGCATATTTATCACAGACTCTTCCTTTTGGGCTAACACAATTTAATGAATATTTATGCCAGATTAGTTGTCGTTTTAACTTTTTGAATCATTTCACCCCAATCAAGGCAATAAAGTCACTAGGAATTAATGAGTGTTAGATAATATGAGAAAAATATATCTTTAAGGTGACGCACAACAAAAGAACTAGAATTGAGAAGACAAAAGATAACGGTTGACATTGCATTTAAATTTTTGAAGATCTAATTTAACTGGAACGGAAGAAGCTGGAAGAGATTTCAACAAGCGATAAGTGCGATAGAAGAAACTGTTAGCATAGAACTTACGGTTACATCTAGCCATTTCAAGTGTAAATTCATGAGCCCTTGTCGCCAATCTAGTGCTGCGCTTAAATTAATCTAGATACCACAAAGGAAAGTTCACCAGGACAACTACACTGAAATTATAGAAAAGGCACAGGGAAGCCGAGATGCCTAGCCAGGACCGGTAACGTTGCAGATTCCTCTATGGATTTTATCGAGACTGGATTTTATCCTCCTTAGGTTTACCCATACGGATTACCTAGTTTTTCATAAACTATATATATATATATATATATATATATATATATATATATATATATATATAGTAATATTCGTTTGGTTAAAACCTCAGATTGCCAGCTTACCTTGAAGATCTGTTTAGGTGAAACCTAGGTAAGCGTTTTGGATTATTTTTTATATATATATATATATATATATATATATATATATATATATATATATATATATATATATATCGACGTCGATTCCAGGATGCAGCACCTTTAAAAGTGCTTGAAAAGCATACCACAGGTTGACCCAAGCCTTATGAGTGATATTCTGTAGACTGAACTCTTGAGGGCCGTCGATAGCTGTTCTAGCACAAAGCCACAAGTCATCGTGGCCGAGTGCTTGAGCGTGCTGGCCTTATTCAAATTGTTTATCACACTAGATAACACGCTCTCTTACAAAACCTGTAACTAAGGCCTGCTCAGCATAGTTGTAGTATAAGCCACAGGTTGGCTCCATGGGTTTTGAGCAAACACAAATGTGACTGAGCGAGTGTCTGCAGTAAGGATTGGCTAGCCTGCCTAGTAGACGGGTATCCTCGAATACCAGTTATATGTTTTGCCTATATATATATATATATATATATATATATATATATATATATATATATATATATATATATATAAAGAAAGAAACAGTAAGATATATAATCCGGTGTTCTTATAGATATTTTTATTTTTACAAAATAGTGCTACTCAATGTAAATTTACAGAGCATTAATATTATAAATTAATTTTATTTTTTAAAATATGGTTTTTCCGCTACAAGTTCTAACCATGTTTAAAAATGGAAGCTAAAAAGCCCCGAATTTAATTTTGTAATTAAATTTTTGAACATTAGTTATTGTTTCATCCTCAAACCAAAACACACACAAACATTTAAAATTACTGGGTTTTAAAGACACAGCTAAAATCATAATTCATGTTTCCAAGGTTACAGATGAATCCATTTACTAGACGATATGTGTCTGGGTGTTCAATATGTCTATATTTTAATGTATCAGTTATTATGTTTTTGTCACAAACAGGGTAGGGATGTATTTTTCAATGAAATCTAACATCCGTGGAAAAAAAGCTCCATCTACTGGATTTTTTTAAAATTTTATTGTTAACGGCTAAAATTCTATAGCATTTTTTTCCTTGTTATATTTAAAGATCTTTGGGCGGGTGTTTAGGTAAAATATTTTTTATTTAACAATATATTTGAAATATTTTTACTTTTAATTTTAATATACTATATTTCTTTTAAGAACAATTAAATGTAATGAGAATCCCTTACAGTTTGTAGAATTATTATCACATCAATTATATTACGATTTTTAATTTATTTTTATACTTATTTAGAGCAATGGATTAAGAATTCTTATGACCACTTTGGCATCACAACGGGATCACTAGACTCAGCTGAGTCTTCTGATCTCATTGGTCGAAAATAGTATTTAAATATAACATTTTTAATTAAATTTTTAACTTTTTTCTAACCTAAACTTCTTTTAAATTGTAATTAAATAAATAAATAAAGTTTACTAAAACAGAGAAATGAATTAGCTATTTTTGCCGTAAGTGCAAAATTATCTTACTTAAATAGTATTTAAATATAAAATTTTTAAAAAATCGTAATATACATATACTTGATATAGAAAAATAATTTTACTTACTGTAAGCAATTCTAATACATTTACTTCTATTAAATGAAATATAGTCTATAAAAACTAACAATGAAAATATTTTAAAGTTGTAATTAAAACTGTAGTTAATTAAAATGAATTCTAATCTAAACTTTTTTTAAAATTGTAATTAAATAAATAAATAAAGTTTACTAAAACATGGAAATGAATTAACTTTTTTGCCGTAAGGGAAAAAAAATTCCTTAAATAATATTTAAATGTAAAAATTTTAAAAAATCGTAATATACTTGATGTGATAATAATTCTACAAACTGTAAGGGATTCTCATTACATTTAAAAGTTCTTAAAAGAAAAATAGTATATTAAAAATTAAAAAGTAAAAATATTTCAAATCGTAGTTAAATAAAAAGTATTCTAACCTAAACACCCCCTAAAGATCTTTAAATATACGAAGGGAAAAAAAATGCCGTAAAAATTTTTGCCGTTAACAATAAAATTTAAAAAAAATCCAGACGACACGCTTTTAACGGATGTTAGATTTCATTGAAAAATACATCCCTACCCACTACCAAAACATAGCAATAACTGATACATTAAAATATAGACATATTGAACACCCAGACACACCTCGTCTAGTAAACTGGATTCATCTGTAACCTTGGAAACATGAATTATGATTTTAGCTGTGTCTTTAAAACCCAGTAATTTTAAAAGTTACTCCAAAATTCCTTGAGGATGAAATGGAACTAATGTCTTTAATTTAATTACAAAATTAAATTCAGGGCTTTTAGCTTCCATTTTGAAACATGGTTAGAATTGTGTAGTGGAAAAAACCATATTTTAAATCAATTAATTAATATAATATATATATATATATATATATATATATATATATATATATTGATGCATGTTTTTTCTATTTATTTTATGTAAATTATATTTTCGATAAATATTGTCTGATAAATATTTTTACATCCTTTCTAATTAGATAGGATTAAAAATATGTATCAATATGGTGATTTTTTTCATCTTTTAATGATAATGTTATTAAGCTTATCAGACGATATGAAAAGAATTTATATAAAATAGACAAAATTTTCTATATTATTTAAGGAAACATGCATCAATGAAAAATATGCTGCCTAAATACACACACAATATATATATATATATATATATATATATATTACCAATAATATATCAATCAACTTGTAAGAACTCTTTCATGACATTAATCCATATATATCGTACAATTTCTTAAAGTAATCAAACTATTCCAAAATATAACTTCAATAAAACTACAACATAAAACACACTTATCACTGCCTTTAGTAATCAGGTCCACACAAACATGTATATGCTCAAAATCTGAGTATCATCTACCATGTATTCAACTGTGAAAGCAGAATAATGTAATATTATATTTTTATTACTCTAAAGATCCCGGCATTAAATGACACATAATGAGTTATGTCTTTAAATTGAAAAATGAATCAATCAAACATTTTCTTTACTAATCATTTATTCTTGTATTTTCCTTACAATATTATAAACCAGAAACTATGAGTTTATACGAGATTTATAACAAATCAATCTACATCTCATTTTTTTTTTACGTATTCAAGATTAAAGATACGAATCATATCAAAAACGAGGCTGTGTATTTATATGATGACTTTATTAGAACAAAATCGGACTTGAAAAATGCTTGAAACTAGAACATTCATTAAGAGTTGACCATGTTAAGAAGCTGTTTTGAGAACTGACATCTGATTTCAACTGTTCCCGATTTAAATCGCGTTAACCCACGCCATTGTTTTGCGATTATTCTTCCAAGGAATGTTTCAGTTACGCTCCTTGGAATTCAACTCGGTTGTTGACAGACACACCAGCCTGCTTCATAGCATATTGAAGTATCGCATGACTCTTGACCTTTGCTTGACCTCTCACCAATGTGCTTCTTTCTGGTACCATCACCGACAAGTGCAGTCGCACACAGTTGATCTTTCCGCCAGAGGGCGCTCGTTACCTTCGCCATTCATTGGCTACATAATTAAAGCTACTTGACCCTGGGCCGCTGTGGAATGTCTGCCATATTCTTTTGTATTTCGGACGTTTTTTTTTTATTTCTTATGTTTTTCTTGAATGTAGTTTTTTGTTTTCTTCATTCCCTCTCATGCTAACAGACTTTTTTTTCTTATATTTCATTTTCTTTCGTTTTTTTATTGCTGTTTTTTTTTTTCGTTATTATCTCTTTCCCTCAATTCGATATGTGTTCTTTAAGCATTGTTCTAATTTCTTTCTTTCTTTTATATATTATATTTTTCTATCATTCTCATTCCTTTCTTTATTTTCTTTCGTTTATGTTACTTTTATTTCTTCTTCTTTCTGCTCTCTTCTTCTGTCCTTTTTTCTTTAGTTATTCAATATTTATCTGTTTTATTTTTTGTTTTTTTACTTCTTTGTTTTTTCTTTATTTTCCTTCTCTTTTTGCTCATTTTTCTTCCTTTCTTCAAAGTTTATCCTCTTGATCTTTATTTTTGACTGTTTGGGGCTGTTTTCTTTCTTTCTTTTATTTTATATCATTCTTTTTCTTTCTCTTTTCAACTTCTTCAGTCATTCATTCATTCATTCTTTCATTCATTCACTTAATTCAGTCTGTCAGACATTTATTCTTTTTTATATTCATCCTGTCTTTGTTGTTTTTTTGTTTTTTTTTGGTTTATCTCATTTTTATTAATTTGCCTTTCACATTTCATTCCTTCTTTCTTTCTTTCTTTCTTTCTTTCTTTCTTTTGTATCCCGTTTTTTACTTTAATGTCTTTTACTTCCTTTTCTATTTGGGAACTTTCTTTCTTTCTTTCTTTCTTTCTTTCTTTCTTTCTTTCTTTACAAGCTGTACCTTATTTTTTTCCCGATTTTATTTTTTATACCATTTTCTTTTATACTATTATTTTTCTCCTTCGTTTTTTACTTTCATTCCTTTATTTATTTTTACGTTTTTTTTTCAATTTTAATTCCTTCTCTGTTTTTCACCATTTACTATTTTTCTTTTACCCTTTCGATTATTCTTTGTTTTTTTGTTTTTTTTACTTCTACTTTCCTTTTGGGATTCAGTTTGTTCATTTTCTTTCATTCATTTGTCTTTTTTACCCTTTGAACCGTTTTTTTTTCTTCTTCATCTTTTTTTTGCTTCTTTGCTTTCGTCATTCATTTATATTTTATCTTTGTTCCTACATTGACCTTTTCTTTCTTTCTTTCTTTCTTTCTTTCTTTCTTTCTTTCTTTCTTTCTTTTAAGTCCTTTTCTTCTCCTTTATCTCTTCTTCCTCACTTCGACTCGTTCTCCTTTCACTGTTCTCTTTCCTTTTTCTTTTTATGTTTGTCGTCCTCTTTTTGAAATCTTCCATGTTCATTTTTATTTATTGGACTCATGAGATTAGAAATGGCCGCCTCATGTGATTCAAGCTACCAACATGGACAGCAAACAAGGGAAATGAATTCAGGGAATATAATCTGGAACTGGACGAGATTTTGTGATGAGAAAGAGTACATATTTTATATCGATCGTAAGAACATCATACATCAGCTTAGATTAGGCAGGTAAGGATGAGAAATTACGAGAGCTTACTTCTTAGTTATTCATTCGCAATGTCGTAATAATATGCTTTAATTTTTGCAACTTTAGTTCAGTTATGTGCCATACGTGATACACGCTTAAGCGATCATGTATCTTTCGATACATGACTGATGAGGCAGATTTTTCCCGCATTAGGTTGCCATTTCTTTCTGAGGTAGACCAGTTGCCATCCAAGGCTATAGAACCCGATCTGTTCTGCTATTTACCCATAGTTGAGGCGGGGAAGAAGAAGATTTCATAACTTTCCCAAGGGTAACACATATGTGAATGTAATGGATTCGACTGGAATTCGAACTCGGCCCTTCGATTTCGCAACTGATTTTTTATAAACGTTATTTTGCCTCTGGTGAGGTTTGGAAGATTGCCTTCAGGGAAATACTTTCTCGTCTCATCACACGCCACCGACATGAATATGAACTGACAGAACGCTGTGTATTACGAAATAGACAGCATTCATTTATGCCGGCAAAAACAGTTTTATCCTTGTCTTTTAATTGCTACAGTTTTTAAAAACTGCAACATTCGATTATAATTTTTTCGATGATAGTGTTTTCGGCAAGAAAGTTGATATTGCCATATGACATAAAACAGCTAACCTTTTCTTTTTAAACACTTCACACTCTACAACGCGATAAAGCCATATAAACGCAAGAGGTTACCGAGTGTTAGAGAATATGTAAAGAAAAAAATATTATTAAGGAGAGAGAACGATAAAAGAACAAGAATTAAGAAGACAGGAGATATCGATTGACATTGAATTTAAAATATTAAAGATCAAAATTGACTGGAAAACAGAAAGCTGGAAGAAAGATTCACAAACAGAAGAACCTGTTAGCATAGAACTCACGGTTGAATCTAGCCATTTCAAATGTAAGAGGAGGAAAACTTGCAGCCAACATAGTAGGAAAGCTTAATATCAGAAAGTCTAGGTACCAAAGAGGAAAGCTCATCGGAACATTTACCATGAAATAGAAATTGTACAGGGAAGTTACGGTCAAGCGGTGTAAAATAACTGAAGCCAAGATGCCAAGTCAGTACCAAAAGCATTGCAGATTTTTATTTGTATTTTATATCTATATATTGTATTTTATATATACATAACAGAAAAACCAGAGTAAATGTGACAATTATATTTAATGCGTGGGCGACTTGTAGACTTATTGTTGAAACTTGACTAATGCATGGAATAATAATGCAACACAAAATGTACTTAGAACAAAATGTATTGAAACAAGAAAGTGTACACAATATTTACATATAGTCTTTTGTATATTCCCGGTAAGACCGTTCCTGGAGAATGTGTTGACTGAGTCGCAGTCGGGCAGAGTCTCTGGATGAATCTCTTGATTCCTCACTCTCTTCCCGGTACCGAACATATTTATATGGTCGGTACTCCACTATGCAAATTAGGTGGGTCCTACCACAACACTTATAAATATATAACAGATTCTGACGAGTAAAAATGATTAGTTACTGTGAACCGTCTTTTCTATTAAGTGACCGAGCAATTGAGTCAATAAATTCCTTCCACTTCACGTCAGCGGAAAATGTTATCGCAATGATTCATTCTCCTGGAGGTTAGCATTAGCCATATGATGGGTTGACAAAAAAAGGTTCTCTCAGACGATTAGATTAGAGGTCTGTAGCATTAATTTAAAAAAAACATGTAATTACTAATTACTAATGGCAGTTAGACGTACTTAAGAAAATGTAATGTTAGTAGCAGACATGTTGCACCAGACATCTAATTGCCACGACAAATCAGATTTCATTAATGTCTCACAATCACACACCGGTAATTGCTTTGGCCTAGCAGGACTGGAAATAGGTAATATCAATGTTGCTTGATTTATTGAACAGACATACAATGAGGGCGTGTGTTGGTAGAACAGTTTAGGAGAGATAGCAAAAACGACAAAATTTGCTAGGAGCTATAAACGAGATAAATTGTGGAGAGCCATGTTAGTCCACATCAGGATAATAGAAGAATGGAAGACTATACCAATTACAAAATACTTATCGTAGTGGTATAATTAAAAAAATAACAGATTATCGAAATCAATGGTAAAATTTGGAAAATCCTCTGAAATGAGGTATTATGATGACTTGCATTATTCACATTATTCAGACTGTTATCCTCAATCATTCGGAATCAACAAACATTTGCATTATTTTTAAACTCATTAAATCCAATATCATTATATATTCTGAAACTTTTGAGCCTCTATTATGATGAGATTGCATGTTTATTCACATTATTCAGACTGTTATCCTCATCTTCATTGCTATGTTCACAATGTTTCGGCCTCTATATCTCTGAGATGAAGTATTATAATTACTTGCATTATTTACATTATTTGTACTGTTATCCTCGTCTTCATTGCCATATTCAAAACGTTTCAGCCTCTATATATCTGAGAGGAGTTATGATTACTTGCATTATTTACATTATTCGGACTGTTATCCTTATCTTCATTGTAACATTCACAACGTTTCGGCCTCTATATCTCTGAGATGAGGTATTATAATTACTTGCATTATTTACATTATTTGGACGATTATCCCCATCTTCATAAATAATGAAGAAATAATTAAAGAAATAAAAATGAACGACATAAGCATATTCCTTACGAGACCGAAACCGTTACTGCATTTTTTTATAGTAAGGGTCACCGTGTACAAGGCCCGGGGGCACTCGAAGTAGAGGGTTACGCTATTTTATATGGAAAGGAGCGGAAGATAGCGGTTAACACTAGACTCGAACCGTTTAAGATTGTAGTGAGCAGGGAAACATCCTCTTGGCGTCTGTTCCACAAAACAGCGGTTCGCAGAAAGAACCTGGCTACAATTCGCTTATCATGGCGTGTCTTAGCCGTGAACTGGTTGAACTAAGGAATGTTGTTCGTCTGAGCACTTTCCGTGGTGGTTTGCTTTTATGAAAGAGCGTAAATTGCTGGTGAAACGGAATTTTTATCCGTGATTGGGCTATAAATTGCCAACAGGACTCGCAGTGTGTAATTAAAAATTAGGAAAACTGTAGCTGACAGATGGCCCGCAGGTCGATATTATCATCAACAGCTTTAGTATATGCATAAAAAAAAAAAAAAAAACGCGTAAATCCATAGAGGCTATCTCTTTCTATCACTTTGTGCCGAGGTCATGGTAGGACGCTAAAATCAGCGCTCCGTGTAATTTACGCAAATGTCATAAACATTACACTTCACTCATTCTTTAACTCAACAACAACGTTCAACATTTTCTTCATTTTGACAGACTCTCCAAAGAGCATTCATTTTGAATTTGCACTTTCTTTCAGGAACTATTCTTAAAATTTTCTCTACACGCAATAGTTCTCGATAGTATAAAAAAATTCTATCTCGTTTTGTTTCACGCACTTATTTATTGAATTTCTCAGCCAATTCAACACTTTTAATATTTGTTCATCAACATAAGACTCAACCATGAAACCTAAAAACAACACTATTCAAGAAACACTCGACATTCATTGATGGAGCAGTTGGCGTTAATGTCAATTGAAATTCATAAACTCTTTTTTATTACAATAGTTTTAGGACATACTTCTTCTCAAGTCTACTGTTATTGCCCGTTCTCGTTTTGATAGGAGTTTCTTTTAGTTACGTATGTTACCCATTTTAGTTGTCGTAGCTGGAAGTCTTCAGCTGATTTTGTTATTTGATACTGTAGCACCATCTATAGGGTTTGGTGCCAGATTGAATTCTTTGAAAATTATAGTATTCATTCACTTCAGGCCATTTCAATCACTGAACTGAGAAAACCGTTGTGTATACATAGTTTGGACATTTCATATATGATTTGGTGCCAGATTGAATTCATTGTGATCTATAGTATTCATTCAAGCCATGTCAATCACTGATCAGAGAAAACGTTTGTGTATTCATAGTTTGGTCATTTCATATATGATTTGGTGCCAGATTGAATTCTTTGTGATCTATAGTATTCATTCAAGCCATGTCAATCACTGATCAGAGAAAACAGTTTTGTATGCATAGGTTGGTCATTTCATGTATGGTTTGGTGCCAGATTCTTTGAGATATATGGTATTCATTCAAGCCCAAGCCATTTCAATCACTGATCAGAGAAAATGTTTGTGTATAGATAGTTTGGACATTTCTGAACGGGTTTGGTGCTATGCATGACATCCACATGAGAGCTTGCATCTGTCAAGTGTATTTAAGTACATGACACGAGTTCTCATGTTAATATTTTTGTTGTAACCTAGAAAGTATTACTGAATGAGGAATAACCAAAATGAGGTTGGAATTGGTAATCTTTATAACATCAACAAATTACAATACTCGTCAGCGGCGTGAATTAGGTGAACCACTGTTAGTTGTGGACTACTTAGTATATTAATCCCACTTACATTAGTGTCCAACGTATTTATGAGGATTGGGACATACCCATTAGTGTTCATAGGTACGGTATATAACAGTTTTATTAGTGTGTTAGACAAAAGAACCTCTAGTTCAACTTAGCCTATATTTTCTGATGTTCCGGTGGGGAAACTGAGCCGAAAGGGAGTCCAGAACATACTAGGTTTATCAGAAGTCAATTTCTCTTACAGAAAAAGTTCCTTATATTGGCGGGAATAGCACTGTATATATTATATGCGCGCATTTAGTCTGTTTGGGGATTTTTTACGGCATATCAATCTTAATGGGTTATTTATTGCCGACAATTTTTATTACTGGTAATTTTTTTTTTCAAAAATCTATTAC